AAACTTCTACACCTACAAGAGCCGACACCAACCCTAAGTCGTCATCAACGTTCTCTGAAACCTCAGATGCTGTTGTGCCCCCGAGCTTCAACATCGGATCCCTCAGCTCCGCTCTCAAGACGGCTAGGTTCGACTCCAATAAGGCGTATAATGCCGTCCGCGAGTTTCTTCAGATACCTCTCCGAGAAGTACCGATGACAATACATCCCTCGGCAGGCATGCATTACATCCTCGACACTTCCTACCTAGAAAACCATCCAGAATATGGTCCAAATCGTAACAAAGAGGTACCAGCTAGGTTAGTCCACAAGTTGGACAGCAGAACAATAGATACATACCGAAAGAAGACGTTTTATGTTATCGGTGGTATCGTGCAATACGCTCAACATGAGAACTCTCCTTCCAACGAACAGACAGCATATGCGGTTTCCCAGGTCATCAAGGTCACTCCACTTGCTGCCGAGCTAGATCACCAGGGCAGAATCAGCATCGAACTGGACCGATTCGCGCCCATACATTTGTACCAGAGCCTCGTCGGGAAGAGTGCTGATAAACTAAAACTCAACGAAGGCAAAGACGACTTTGATTCGTATAAGAGTTCCTCCACATCCCCAACCACCCCGCCAAAGGACATACGGGGCAAGTCAGTCGATCAACCAGACCAAATGCACGAAAGGCTTGTTACGCTACTTGACTTCTTAAAAGATCCGATTAATAAATGAGGCTTCTTTGTCTGAGATATGTATCAGCTATTATTGTTTGTAAATATCCCCGGCTGCTGCATATATATATATTCTCAGTACATATGTAATATATCACACTATCTATCTATCAAACTACGTTCTTCCAGCATTATGCGAAATGGTCCGTTATTTCAAATGCAACACGATAGGGAGGTCATATGTGGGTGACCAATCACACTAGTAGAGGATGTCATTTTAAAATTTGCTACATAATGAGCAGGTTGGTGGATTGGATTTTCCAGTGCTACAATGCGGTTTAAAAAAAAAAAAATGTATATGTAAAAAATATAAAGAGGAACAAACAACTGTATTTGAAGCAGATGCGGTCAACAAGCACCGTTGAATCAAGAAACAAAAATACAAACTATCGCTAATTCTGTATGCTACCGTTGCCGAGATAAGGATCCTTAACGCTCATATTTCCCTCGCCTGTGCCCTGCAGACGACTGCCGTGATAACTCCAACCCTCAAACTGAATCTGGTCACTTTCAGAAAGTCGATTATCCCCTTCTATAACGCTATCCGCCGGAGCTTCGCCAGTGAACTCTGGCGAGAAGTTGGTCGTGTCAAGAGCGTTTTCCTATGGCGTGTTAGCGACTGCGGTAAGACAGGGGTTCCTAATGGGTACTTACAACTGCCGGCTTAAACGTGGGTTGGATCTTCTTCTGAACTAGTCTCTTCCAGTCAATACTGTCGAAAAACTTATGGTTTTTAATTTCTGCAGCCCCGTTTGCACCTAACCGCTTGGTCGGGTCTCTGTTCAACAGCTTCTCCAACAAGTCCCTTGCATCCTGGGGTACGATTTCCGGTCCGTGGAAAAGCAATGGATCCGTAAGAATTTTACGATACATCTCATTAGTATTTTCATCGTAGAATGGCGGCAACCCCGTTAACATCTCATAGAGCAAAACGCCGAGTGTCCACCAATCTACAGTTTTCGTGTACCCTTGGGACAAAAGAAGCTCCGGGGCGATATATTCGGGGGTACCACAGAATGCTATCGTAGGGATATAGTTAGCAACAATCGGATACGTCTTTGCGTCGGAAATACGGAGCATACTGTTTGTCTTGTCGTCCTCCTTCATATTGAGTTTACACAACCCGAAATCACATAACGCTATGTGACCAGTGTAGTCAAGCAAGATATTCTCTGGCTTAAGATCTCTGTAGATAACGTTGAAGCCGTGTAGACACTCCAGCGCGCACAAGAGCTCTGCAGTATAGAATCTTGAGCGGTTGATATCGAATCTCCCCTCCCGCTGGAGGTGATGAAACAACTCTCCTCCATTTACGAACGCTAGCACTAGATAGAGCTTCTCCGGAGACTGGAACGAGAACTTCAAGGGAACGATGAACGGATTGTCGATCTGTGCTAGAACAGTCCTCTCAGCAAGAGTATGTGTGACCTCAGCTCTGCTTATTATGTGCGCCTTGCGAATCGTTTTAAGGGCGTAGATACGCGATGTGTCCTTCTTCCTGTTTATTTGTCATTAAAAAAAAGTGTGCTTCCCATGTTACTTGCCAACAATAAAATCCTTACCTGACCTGCATGACTTTCCCGAAACTTCCTTTGCCGACAACCTTGAGTAGGTCAAAGTCTTCGATAGTGAGAGGTTTGCTCTGATTGTGCGGTTAGCATATAATCTTTCGAAAACAATGAAGGGATATACATACAGGATTTGCAACATAATCTAGTCCAATACGGACGCTGCCGCTTCCGAATCCCAATGCTACCCAGTCAATGCCTGCATGACCAGGTTGCGGAGTCGCTGGAGCAGAAGATTTGGATTTCGGTGGAGTTGCCTGCTGAGCAGGTGTCTCCTCGAAACGAGGTTGTACTTTACAACTGCCCAAGAAGAAGTCGCTCTCTCTATTGTTGCCCGTGCTCGATGGATTCCGCAAGTAGAGCTGCACAGTAAGGTCTGTCTCTCTGGACACATCGAATTTGTATTGATTTGCGGGCGAATCATAAATTGGGGCATTTGGAGCCGGTGATTTGGGAGAGGCTGTCAAGAAGACCTCACACTTGTCGAATTCAACGACACAGTATGGTAGGTACCGGGGATGTATTCCACCGCCATGGCTGTAACCCGTACCCGGACGGGATGACGAAGTACCTGGCCTAGAACCAGGAGTCACATAGTTCGCCATTCGGGCCTGCGATGATGCAGGGCGCATTGAGTTAAAAGAGCCGACCGAGCCAGAAAGGAGACCAGCCTGGGCAGTCGGTATATTGGGCAGGGTTAGACCTTTGGCCTCGTAGAGCGTAAAGACGAGCAACCCCGGCTTGACCGTCGAGGTAACATGGGTGCTTCCGGTCATTGCTGAATCGATGGACGATGGGGTCGGCGATGTCTTGAGTGAGGCCGGAGTAATTGTAGATGTCGATGAAGATCGTGAGGCTGTCGAGCTCGGAGAAGGTGTGGAGAGGTGTGTCTCCTTTAGTTCTAAGAGGTTATCAAGAGTAAGTCGAAAGATACTTAGATCCAATCGTACAGTAGAAGCAATAGTATTCAAGGTGGGAAAGGGGCGGGACGAGATCCGGGGTGGTATATATTTAGAGCACAATGAATAGAAGAGGCAGGGGGGGAAGAAAGGGGCAGGGAGTTCAGGAGAGAGGGAAGGAGAGTAGTGACCCTCAGAAGAAAGGCCATTGATCCGAAATACACGTATGCGGGAGGGTCGTGCTTAAACCCCTGACTCGAAGTTCCAAACATGGTGGAGATGTGAATGAGCATTCCCGACTTACTCTTGGTGAGCTTCCACGACATGATTAGGGAAGAGTGTGTAGTCGACGACACCTAAAAGATAGAGGTAAGCCAAACTGGTACGCACATAGACGGACGCGGTTAGGTATTTTGGCATATATCCAAGTAACAGGTACTTACCTAGGTACTTGTGTGGTATATGGGGAAAGGAATATACGTCTGTGGCAGACCAAGGGCGTATGTAGCAGATCTGGATATAGACAGGTGCTAGGAAAGACGGGGGTGGTAGTTCTGGTTCCGCCGGTCAGAAGCTGGTTTCCAAACGAGGACGAGGTATAGAGATCGGTCCGAAATCCTGAATGGCAATGATGGCGATGGCGATGGCTCAAGACGGCGAGCTGTAAGAGAGAGAAGGAGGCTGGTAAGGGAAACGAAGATAGGAGGTTGGTTGGTTGGTTGGTTGGTTGATGGCCGAGGATTGATGATTGATTGATGGATTTGATGATTGGGGGGGGGTGGCTGCCCGCTGCTTGCTGAAAGGTGGAGATCTGAGGGAGGAGGGAGAGAGCTGCCGCCACCCTGACAACAAAACAACACAAACCCAATCCTATATATACTACCTCCTAGGCACCTAGTTAAAACTAACCATATAATATAATATATCTATGACATCGATCTAATATACCTGATGCCACTGGCAGGTATTTATCTACTTGGCTTACTGGCCTGGCTTAGCTATAGGGGTATATATCTAATACTCTCAGACACCATACAAAAGATGGATTGACCCAATACAACCTCGCGATCGTTTTTTCTAACCATTTTGCGCGCGATAAACCCCGAAGGTCAGGCCGGACCTATAGGCGATGTGCAGCAACCGATAAGAACATTACAAGACCATCACGCTCAATTAGAGCCCCCTAAAAAAAAAAAAAAAAAAAAAAAAAGGCTGGATGAATTAATCCCATCCGCAGGAAAGACGTCCGAGAGAGGACTTAGCCATGGCATAGCTATGCATATCCAGCAATACTCAGCGTGTAATCGTGTCCTACATCCTTATGTAGTATAGGTGATAATTTATCACGAATTTAGAGCAGATACCTCCTGGAAGGCCTGTTATGAGCTGGATTCGAATGTAAATACATTAGCTATACTTTACGCATGAGCAATTTTATATGTCTATATAGATGCTGTGGTTAAGAGCAGAGCAGAGCAGAGCATTTGATCTAACTGAAGCCGATAAAGTAGTTTACAGCTATAAAGCACATATTGCACAATTAAAACATTGAAGATAGAGAAAAAAAGGGGCTCGAATGCTTGTTAGTACCAACTTATTTCCGTATCCACCATAAATGAGGAAGTTTCTAAGTAAGTACTTGGGTTCGAACTGGACTGGTACTTGAATCTTCAAGCCCGCTATAACTTAGCTGAATTGAAACAGCGGAACATGTGTAATCCGATGGACAGGAGAGACAAACCCGCCACAGCTCTTTGTTCTCAAATCTTCAAAAGGTTATAGATTGAACTTTAGATGGTGTCAAACATCACAGGTCACATGGCGCAATGGTAGCGCGTTGCTCTCCTAATGTTCACCTAACAAGGTGACAACCTGGCGGCAAGCAGAGGTTGCAGGTTCGAGTCCTGCTGTGATCGAAGCATATTCTTTTGCAGTTGTCTCCTCGAGTCACTTTTCTTTTTTGCTTTTTGCTTTTCGCGGCGGGACAGACGATTCCATTTCTCGTTCTATCTCGGGAGCATTCTATTTCTTTTTCCCTCATTTTCTGGAACCGTACACGCATAAAAGTACCTGATAAGTAGGTACCTATCCGCAGTTTGTCAAAGTCAACCCGACAAAAAGAACACCGACACCTGCCTGGTCGTGGTGTTGGAGCAAACCTGTTAACGTTAGTGCACACATGGATTTCAATGGATAGGGTTATCTCTGGCTGTATCGTTAGAATGGATAAGCAAGCTGGAACTCAAGTAACTACCTACTTACCTAGGTCAGTACCTACCTAATCACGGAACGTAAACTAAACCAGGCACAACCATTATAAATATTGAGAATTCGATTATATGCATTATATAGGCAGCTATGTTCGAATTCACCAGCAGATCCTAATCAAGCTCTTGTTGAGTTTGTTGTATTTAGAGATAATACCTTTCTCCCCCCAAAATTGTAACAAAGTATTTATCAGCCAACACATGGCCATGACAGACCTCAACTATATAATAAGTACGCTGGCCGCGAGATAATATATATATGGTATGGAAACTAGGATGACACACCCAGTACATCTACAGCTCTAGTTAGGCTCCATAAATACTTAGGGGGGGTTAGCTTAAGGCTAGTGCTTCAGAATCTTGCGGTATATTACATTGCATCAATCCTGCATATTATACATATGCATGCCAGGAGCAACAAGTAGTACTAACTGTGACTAGGTATACATCGATCATTAATATATTAAGTGATTAATAGGTACAATCCATATACTCGTAAGAACTTCCCGGGGAATATAAAGACAAAAAGTACATTTTCGCAATCCCATAACGCCGTCCAACTCCACATGCATCATAATAACAAGTATGGCAATCCAAACAAAAGAGAGAGAGAGAGAGAGAGAGAGAGAGAGAGAGAGAGAGAGAGAGAGAACTATAAAAAATAGTCACGACAAGGAAAACTCCAGAATAAAACCAAAAAATATACATAAGGGGGGTTGAAGGAAGATGAGACAGGAGGGGGTAAAGATTCGAGATAAGACGCAGTTAAAGAAGAGGCCGGACTCCATTCACCATAAATAAATGTTTTACAACCCAATACCATAAAAAGAAGGCAAGAAGGCAAGAAGATAACAAGCCTTCAAGCTTGAAGATCGGCAAAAGAAAAGAGATTTCGCATCAATTGTGCGCTTTGAACATTATTTGTGAAACTTATTTCCTCATTTCTATCTTCCGCTAGCGCCTTGATTGCAGTGAGGATATTCGTTGACGGTCGGAATTGATCGTGATTATCATTCGCTCCGAGCACCCACTCCATGCGAACCGTTTCGTCCCTCCAGAGCTTAGATAAGAATGTTCGGAATGGGATAGGATATAGAAACCTAGGCGTTGAGGTTAGCAAGGATTCATAATCAGTTCGATAAGTTGAAGGTAGAACACACCCTAGCTGCTCGATATCGTGGAATCGCGTACGGATGAACATTCTTAAGCTTTCCACGGTATTAAATGCTGCTGCCATGGCTAAAGGCAGCTGGAAAGGTAGCAGTGACGCTTGATGAGCATCAGACTCGTAAGAAGCCGTCGCCGCTGCCACGAGATCGCAAATTGCAGCACATTGTCTAGCCATGTAATCTTCGTCGAAACCATGTAAAACACTCCGCTGGTGGTGAATAAGCATCCCGACGGCATGGATTTCCGCGAATACGTAATTCACTTGGTCACGGATTGGAGGAGGGATAGTTTGGGCAACAGTGCCTAAATCGGAAAACTGATCCCAAAATGACTCGATATCTTTCGATGCAAGAACCATGGCTTGTTCGTAAGACCTGAAATCGCAAAGTCCACTGAATCGTGCATGCAGAACATTAACTACTTGCATGCTAATTCGGCAGCATGACGACTCGGCGCTCAAAGCTAACCAGTAGAGGTTATCGGGGTGTTGAGCGAGCTGGGTCTGGCAGGAGTTGTAAGCAGCATCGTACCATTCGGTATCGAGGATTGTAGGGAGACCCGCAATCATGGAAACGCTGATATCAATCCTAGTGAACCAGGAGAAAATCGGATACCCCTCCGAAGTATCGAGGATTGACTGTGGTGAAAACAATGATTCCAAAATCATGTACGCCCCCTTGCGATGCTCGATCAAATTTGCCCAATCCCCAAGGTACTCCTCAAGAGTTGCCAGCTGTAGGACAGTCAGAAGGGTGAATACATCCGGGGGTAGGTTTTCCTGAAATGATTCTCGCAAGGACACGATTGCTCTGTCATGTAGCTCGAAAAAGATCTCTGCGGATGAGCTTCTATCTGCCCTGGTGGTGGTGTGTGACTCGTTGATGAAGTAATGAAGTGCAGAAAATGCGACAACCGAATAGAGGAGTGCAGTGTTCTGTGATGCATAAGACAATAGTGTTTCGCCGAAAAAGTTCGATGTGTCACTTTTTAATAGGTAGTGGCGGAAATCAATATTTTGGCGATGGTACTGAAGCCAGAAATTTACGTCCAACTCATTGGGGGAAACATCAGTTTGGGGGGGTTCCGCGAGTGTTCTTTCGATTTGCGTGTTGGAAATCCTCGAATCCGAGCGGGAATGGTGGGCGTACAAGGGATAACGGGGTTCTGAGTAACTCTCCCCGCTATAGGAAACGCCGATAGGACTAAGGCTCCTTTGCGAACGGGTTGACCCCGGAGCCGACTGGGCGAGGCCTGGAGAGTCCAGTGGGTATGTATTCAGGAAGCGAAAGTCCACTGAGTGAATATCGGAGGGGTAGGCATCCGACTCCGGATCCTCGGGAGATGGGCTCTTTTCTGACACCTGCACTGAGCTGGGGGTATTTGACTGTTTCCTTTTGGTTCTTGTGCTCTTCGGTGTCGAGGTGTCTGGGAAAGTGCATTGTCGACCGCCTTTTGCACAACCTATTCGAACCGGCAATCGTGAGTATTTATTTTATTTAATTATTTATTCCGCAGGGAGAGTGTGCACAATATCCTTTGTTTTACGAAAGGACGAAGCTTCAACGTTCCAATATATACCTAATGTATATATATATATATATATATATATATATTTAAGTGTATAATCGGGGGGGCTAGGATTATAACCTACGTTCACAAATGGGTCTCGCTTCATCACACTGTAAAATATTTTTTGAGCGATGTTAGTACAATATACATGAGTATGGAGTATGAGGGGATGTGGGACTCGATGATGACAAATGGAAAGAGCTCTAACCTTCACACGGCGAGCACGGCAGGTAAAACAACCCGATCTTGTTCGACGGTGCTTGATATGCTGCTCACTTGCCCCACCAAGATCCAGTCTCATCTCGGTCTTCTGCCACCTCTGTCCGGAATTTGAGTTCAGATGGTCCATGGCAAAAGTATCTTGGTCGTAAACAATGGTCGAGTAATTCGATAGGGCGTGAAATCGAGGACCAGGTTGGGCTGGTTGCGTAAATAACGGGTAGCATGCAACGGTTTCCGGCATTCTCTGGTTATTAAGATAATATTATTTAGGATCACTAATCGATCGAACGTCCAAAAGGAAAGATATGAATTTGAATATCCAGTTATATTATAAAGTAGTAGTAGTAGGAGGTAGGTAGGTATGTATATCGTGTTGATATTGAGTATAAGTCGAATGGGATTCGAAGATAGCGAGCGATTGCGTTGGGGACTCCGACGATATCGATGTAATATGGAATACACCAAAAGGCTATAAACGAGTAGTATGTAGGTAAGTACCTATTAGCGTATATATGAATAGAAAAAATCGGAATAAAAAAAGATTAAGATAGTATATAGTAACGAGTAGGTTCGGATTCGAAAGAATGAGAAAGAAGAAGAAGAAGAAGAAGAAGTCGAAATCAGGCTACTACTACTACTACTACTACTACTATTACTATTATTAATACTTAGGTATTGTATAAACGAGGGTGAAACCAAATGCAGTGGATTGATGCCCAGCGCATGTAGTATAGTATAGTATAGTATAGTATAGTGCAGTGCAGTATCAGCGAGTGATGGTGATGTTGGTGATGATGCTGGTGATATTCATTGTATCGTGGATATGAACGACCAAGTGAATGTTTTGTATTGGAGGGGCAATCCAATGCATATATATACTAAAGTGTGTTTACATTGAAGAGGTATAGTGTAGTATGTATATATATATATATATATATATATATATACATGCCTAGGTAGATATATAAGAGTAACTGCTAAGTACCTAAGTAAGTGGGTAGGTAAGTAAGTACTAAGTAGGTAGATACTCGAAGGGGGGAGCACTAGAAAGAAGCATGGGTGGGATGTGGATGTGGATGTGGGATGTGGATTTGTGTGTGCATGCATGCATGCATGATTCCACGCGAGCTGGAATCGTCATAGGGCCGTTTTGGTTGGGTGTGGGTTTTAATTTTGGTGGTTTGACATGGTTGAGACATTGTTGCGGCGTCAGCGGCGTCGTTAAGGCAGCGGCGTTCGATGCGGGACGGTTCTTTTTGGCTGTGTGGTACCTTTTTTTATTTTTATTTTTATTTTCTCTACTCTACTCTACTCTACTCTACTATCTTTCTACCCCCCCTTGCATAAGCCATAGTTACTGCCAGGTGAGTAGTATAGCAACCGGCTGCCAGTGCTGCTGGAGTAAGTAACAACAACAACAACAGCAACAACAAAAACAACAGTAGTAGCTCTCCCTCTCCCTCCCTCCCTCTCTCTCTCTCTGTGTAACAGCATGTAAAGTCGGTATACCCCCCCCTTGTATGTATGTACAGTACCTCCTAGGTACCTAGGTACCTACCTACCTAGTGTATGTATGGTTATAGCCTATGTTGTATATATGGTATACATGTATTAAGAGGTATCCACATATCTGATATGACGGGACGAACCCGCAATTGCGGTTCTATGAAGTCATACATCTATATCCA